ACACTGGAGAAAGAGGAGTAACCACATATTTTGAGGACTATTAGATACAGGGTCACAGCTGAGACTGATACTTGAAGATCTGAAACAACATCATGTCTCTCCTATTGGAATGGAGGCATATGGAGGCCAGGTAATAAAGAAACAGAGTTACGGCCAGAGTCTGGCTCACAATGGGTCCACTGGGTTCACAGATCAACTCAGTGGTCATTTACCCAGTCCCAAGTGTATAATTGGATCTGACTTCACAGATGGAGTACCTTGGCCCATGGAGTAAGAGCTATCATAGTGGGGGAAGGCCAAGCAGATGTCTTTGAAACTCCTCCTGGCTGAGAGAGTAAATCTAAAACAATATCACAATGCCAGGGAAATGGTGGAGATTAATGATACCCTTAAGGACATAAAGGATGTAGGAGTAATACTTCCCATCACATCTCCATTTAATTTGACAGTCTGGCTTCTGCAGAAAGCGAATTAGCAGAATGATTGCAGGCTACTGCAAGTTCAACCAAGTAGCAGCCCCAATTACAGCTTCCATGCCAAGGATAGTATTATTCCTAAAGCAGGATAATATGGCCTCAAGTGCTTGGTATGTGACCACTGATTTGGAGAATGCATTCTTTTCTATCCAGTCAAGAAAGACAATTAGAAATTGTTAACATCCACATGAAATAAACTGACAACAATAGGCATTGACACTTTTGCCCCAGGACTATGTTAACTCTTCTATCTCTTTCATAATATAGTCCAAAGAGATCTAGATCATCTGGAAATTCTGTAGAACATCATATAGATCCATTATACCAATGACATCATGCATGAGGTTGAGTGAGAGGTGGTTGAGCAAGAGGTGGCTAGCATGCTGGAGGTTTGTCCTCCAGAGAGTGGGAAATGAACCCTATGAAGGATCAGAGACATGTCCCTTCATTAAAGGTTTTAAGGGCCCAGTGTTCTAGGGAGTGCTAGAGCATCCTCTTCAAAGTAAAAGACAAATTGCTGCCTCTTGCATCCCCGAAAAGAAAGAAGAAAGCACAGTGCCTTGGAGGCTGCCTTGGGTTCTGTAAGCAATATACTCCACACCTAGGAATATATTTCTGGCCCATATACCAGATGACATAAAAAGCTGCCAGCTTTGCCACCTGGCACAACAAAGGGCTCTGCAGCAGGTCTGAGTGTGGCGCAAGCAGCCTTGCTTGACACTTGGGCTAATGGATCCAGCAGATCCTATGGTGTTAGAGGTGTCAGTTTTGGAAGAAGATGCAGTATGGAGTTTATAGAAGTCTTAGAAGGAGAATTACAGCTCAGGCTCCTGGGGTGCTGGATCAAGGTTGCACAACTTTTGAAAAACAGCTCTTGGCATCCTCCTGGTAAGGAGAGAATGCTTGACCATGGGGACACTAAGTGATACAAAATGAAATGTGTCTCGTTGAACCTACCATGTCATAACTTCGGAGGGGGCCCAGTCACAATTCATCGTAAAATGAAAATATTACATTTGGGATGAAGCACAAAGAAGACCAGAGGGTACAAATAATCTACATGAGCAGATAGTGCAGACCTTGATGTCACCCATCACAGTTTCATCAATACCCCTCTCTCAGCTCACACTGATGGCCGTAGTAAGGGGTGGGGTCTCAAACAACAAGCTGAAGGAAGAAAAATGGCCAAGCTTAGTTTACAGATGGGTTGGCTAAGAACGTGGATGAAAGCTGAAACTGGACAGCAGCTACATCAAAGCCTCACTCAGGAACAGCCATGAAGACAGAGGAGAGGGACAAGCTTTCTAATGGGCAGAGTTTTGGGCGGTGCCCAAAACTGTGGTCATCCACTTTGTGTGGAAGGAAAAGTGGCCTAACTTTAGAATATAAACCAGCTAACAGGCAATGGCAATAGCCTGGCTGGTTAGTCAGGTGTCTGAAAAGAAAGAGATTGCAGACAAGGAGGTCTTAGAGGGTTAGAGGAATGCAGATGCACATATCAGTGTGGGCAAAAAGTGTGAAGATCTTTTTATCACACATCAGTGTCCACCAGAAAGTATACATTATGAAAGAAGCACTAAACAACTACGTAGACCAAATCACTCAGCTAGCTGACGTTAGCCTGTCTTTGTTAGTGGCCACCCCAGTGCTGGCACAATGGACAAATGAAAAAAGTGGCCATGCTGACAAAAATGGAGTCTGTGCATGGGTCCATCAGCATGGAGCCCACTTACCACAGCTGGCCTACCTACTGCCTCATCTGAAAATTCAACCTGACAGCAAGAGAGACCAATGTTGAGCTCCCAATACGTCATCACTCCTTTAGGAGATCAAGTTGCTATTTGGTGGCAAGTTGACTACATTGGGACCTTTCCACCCTGGAAGGGGCAACAGTTCCATCAATGGGAATAGATTACTTATTTTGGGTATGTATTTGCATTTTATACCCGCCAGTCTCCATCCAGCACCACTATCTGGGGACTTACACAATGCCTGATCCACAGGCACGGAATACAACACGGTATAACATCCAATCAGGGAAATCACTTCACAGCAAAGGTGGTGCAGGAGGGCGCCCATGACCATGAGTTCCACTGGTTGTACCACATGCTGCATGTCCCAGAGGCCGGTGGCCTAAGAGAGCACTGGAATGGCCTGCTGAGGGTGAAGTTCAAGCACTTGCTATGACACAATACTCCGCTAGGATGAGGTGCTGTTCCCCAGGATGCAGTAGACCTTGATACGGCTCAGGGTCCCCAATAGGAACAACACATGGGTCCAGGAAAAAATGGGGTAAAACAGGAATAGCATCATTTACCATCATTCCCAACAACCTATTGGGGCACATAGCATTTCCCATTCCTGCAAATCTGAGCTTTGTGGAATTAGAGATCCTAGTCTCCTGAAATGGTATATTCTTGCTAGGGGACACAGCAAGGGTCCTACTGAGCTAACTTTATCTGCTGCCTGGGCATTCAGGACTTCTTGAGTTCAGGGACGAGCAGACAAGAAGAGGAGTCAACATCTTGGCAGGATAAGCTAACTCTAATCATCAGAAGGTAGGCTTGATGTTACAAAATGATAGCAAATAAGAATATATGTGGTACTTGAATGATCCACTTGGGCACCTCTCCCTTACTCAACAGTGACTGTAAACGGACAAGTGCAGCAACACCTGCCTGAAAAGGAGATTATTACTAGGGGCTCAAATTTTCAGGAATTAAGGTTTTCACACCACCAGTTTAATTATGAAGACCAGCAGAGGTGGTAGCTGAGAGTGAGGGGAATTCAGAATGAATAGTAGAGAGAGGCAATGAATGCAGTTGTGGTTCAGGACCAACTGCAAAGATGGGGACTGTAGTTTGTCCCACTAACTTCTCTCTTCTAAGTTTCTCTTCAGGAAGAGAGGCCACCGGAACCCTGAATGAGTACAGACAGTGGATCTACATGGTACAAGGGGTCCACTGTGACAAACACACAGATGTGCTGCTCAGATACCTCTTCATCAACAGGCTGTTTGCCCAGCTGTGAGGAGTGTGGTTAGGTGACAACCTTCAACTGTTAACACTTTCAAGTCCACTTCAGCTTTTGAGTCAAGGCCACACTCTTCTTGGGAAGGTTCTAGCTAATGACTGAGCAAGGCCATGTTACAAGGGCCTAGCTATTTTATCTCAGTATGAGACTCTTCATCTTTGCTCTAGAGCTACTCCTAGCCCATCCAGTTTCCTCCCTTTTCCTTTCACCTTTTTACTGTCTTAGCTCTAGCTCACTGTTTGCTTTCTGGAGGTCCCAAATGGCAAACCTCATCTTTTCCAGCAACATCCAGCTCCTCTAGGTCCTCTAACTTTATTTCTATTGATAATTGTAGAGGTGGTATTGTGCATTTTTCAGATATGCATACAAATGTTTACCAGATTCACCTCCTGTGCCCTGTATTGGTACAACTGCAATCTATGCAGTGTCTATTCCTATAGAACAGATCAAGAAATGAGCACACAGTGTGAAGTAACCTGCCAGAGGTCAATCGTCCATGAGTACGTCATAGATTCCCAAGTTAAAAAGTAGTCCAGCTCCAGTGTCTTTATCTGTAATCATTACACTCTTCTGTCACTAGGAAAAGGTTGGTAGCACCAGCACCCTAAAATTGTAATAGAGAAGTGTTTGGAGAAACCAGGCCTGGTGTATACAAGGTTGGGGAACATAAAGATACAGTTGTTTTAGGAGAAAATAGTTCCCAAAACAGTAACAAGTAGTATAAATTTTAGGTTTTGTTACTATTGAAAACTAAAGCTTAAGAAAACACTTTCATTGATTAACTCTGATCTCAGTACAGACTGCTATTTCCAAGCCAGTCAGGCAATCTCCTTATCCTCATGATGTCTCGCCAGCTGGATCTTAACCTAAAACAGGCATCATCATCTCTACAGAATTAGCGTCTCGTCATTACTTCACTCCAATATTCTCCCATTCATGCACTTGTGCTTGAAATCTCCGAAATTAGTAGGCACTTCACCTTCGGTAACATTTTTGCTTATATAGATTCTTGGTCTAACTATTGTAAAAAGTCCGAAAAAGGTGTCTGTTCTTCCTAAAATTTTTAAGGAAAAGTGACTACTAAGGTCTACTTTCTTGCAAACTATAGAGAAGTAGTTTTAGATTAAAGTAAATTGCGTTAAACGCTAATCACTACCAGGTTTCCGGCGAGCCGCCTGGATACACGCTCCGCCGCTTGTCCAGAAGAACTACAATTCCCGAGGTACATTGCGGCGTTCTCAGCCTACAACTACAACTGCTTACGTCATCTCCGTCCTCACAGTCGGTGCATGCTGGACTCTGTAGTTCGTATCGACTTATCTTTCGTCGCCGTCTTGGAAAGGAGAAAGTGTGGACGGATCGACTGCTATGAATCTGGTATTACGATATGGTATTTAAAAATAAATTAATAAGATAATGTATCAAAGCCAATTTAGCGTCAGGTTTTTATGTATTTCACGTTCCGCCTTCCTCCTACTGCCGGGCCCGGAAAGGGGAAGTGACGTGCTTCCGGTGTAATGGCGGTGCGGTGGCGCTCCAGGTAATTACCGAACTCCGTAGACTCGCGGCAGGCAGCGAACCAGAGTGGGGGTGGCGGGTTGCCGGACCGGGTGGGAAGTGAAAGGGGCCAAGGAGTGGGTACGGGCTCGCTGATATGGCCCTGGGCAGCGCCGCGGTGCGCGAGGCTCTCCTCCCGCCGCGCGCCGGCCCGCGGGGTTGGAGTGAGAGCCGGTCGGGCGGAGGAGTCCGAGCGGTGGGGAGGCGACGCTGAACTCTCTTCCCGCCTGCGCGGACAGATAGCTTCCTAGTGAGGTTCCTGGGGCTGTCTCGACACAGTGTCGTTGTTGCTTGAATCCAGCACCGATCCTTTCTGCGTTCGTGTGCGGTGTGTTTCGGGCGCGGATCGCTTAGAGCCTCCACTTGGGCTTCTTAAGGCCCCTTTCTTAGTGCCCGGCCCCAGGTCATGGGAATGGGATTAATGAACTGTAGTTGATTAAAAAATAGTGCAAGTTCCGCTCTTGCGCCTCTTTCCGACATAATATCCTTGTGACTGCTTCTTTAAAATTTCATTAGTCTTTTCTTTTTCATTCATTTGTCCTGTAAATAATGATGCTTCCTAGTGGTTAGTCCTGAGAACTCTTCGTTCCGCATTATGTGTGCTCTTCCTTTGTCATCCTTTGTCCTTCCCTAAATTGATCTGCCTCCAATACGATGGTAACTTACAAACTTGGGTCTTCAGTCTCCACCGCTGTATTGAGCTCCGGATCCTACAATACACTTGCATATAACGGTAATATAATAGTTAATTTCACTGGGTCTAACTGCGAAAACTGCTTTACCAATTTTCACTTAATTCTCACAACAAATCTTTGAGGTAAATAGAGAAGGAAAAAATTGCAGAAAAGCTGTTCCAGAAGCCGGAATTAGGTGATTGAAAGTGCGATAAGAGTTCCCTTTGCCTTTTTCGGTGTCTACAGGCTAGAAATAGATAAACAAGAAGACTTGGGCTTCAGAAGGGAAGTTAACCTGCCTTTCCCTTTTCTATATTTAAATTTGGTTTGTTTTAGGATTGCCTGTGAACTCGGGAGTAAACCCCAATTGTCATCCTACCATGGAAAAGCGAATTTAGAATTGGCATTAAAAGTGTGGTTTTGATCGCAAGAACGTTGCTCAAGGCAGCATCTGTGGGAGGAGACCTGCTTTTGTTGGTGCTGAGTGATGGACCACTAAGGCGAAGATGCCAGTCTTGGTTCAGCACTAAATAAGTCTGTCATTTGGGGCAGGTTACCTAACATCTGTAGTCTCAGCTTCCTCATCTGAAAAATGTGGATAATAGTAATACCTACCTACCTACCTGGGTTGTTTTGAGGATGAAGAAAAATACATATAAGGCACTGTGCACGGTGCCTGGCATACAGCGTTAGCTATTATATTATTGTTACTACTGCGAAAGAGTTGATGAATTCTCTCTGAGTCTCAGTTCTTGTTCTTTGGTTCTGAATGTTGCCCTTCCACTTTTAAGTGCCCATGCCGCCTTCATGGAGCCTTTCCCACCTCATTTGGCTGGGGCCCTGAGACTTCAGAGGCTGAGAACGTTGATCCGATACCCTGGTCCAGTGGTTCTGCAAATCTAGTGTCCTGAATCAGCAGCACCAATGTCTCCATGGAACTTGTTAGCAATGTAAATTATTGGGCTCCACCCCAGGCCTGTTGAATCAGAAACTGGGGAATGGGGTGCCTATGAGTTTCTTTTTTACCAAACCATCCACGTGATTCTCATGCCAGTTAGTTTGAGAGCCACTGTTCTAGCCCATCCCCTTCTGATCTACTGTGGTTCACTCCCACCCCCAGGATCAGGTTTGCTGTTTTCCTTGCTCCAAAATGTTTGATCTTTGGCCAGCCAGTATTTCCTTGTTACTATGCCACCACATCCTTCCCTGCTTTGGATAGTTTACCTCCAATCACTTCTGGAATTCTGACATTTCCTAAACTACTTAACTGTGTTTCCTAAACCAGCCTTTTTAGCTCGATCAGTTTTCCCAGCTGCTGAATTGTTAGAGGTTAACTCTCCTCCCTGATGATTGTACGTTGCCAAGTGATCTGCAGTGGCTGGTTGTACCTGAGACCACCTACGAGAGTACACAGTGATAACATTGGGTATTTATAATGCCCATGCCTTAACTTGAACATTTTCTGTTTATTGCCCACTTGTATTTAGACTAAATTTTGTAGTACCTGGTGTATTCCTTAACTTGGTATAAGTCATCGCTGGCCTAGAGCTAGTTTAAGAATGAAGTGGTTTTTGGTAATATAGCTGATCCTGCTGATGACTTGCAGGGCTTCTTTGTTGCATTTCTCTACTTTTCTGTTTAAGTGTGAGACTCCTAGCATGGGAGGGTGGTGGAACAAAGCATATTAGTTTCTCTGGAGTATTAGTTTCAGCATACTTCCAGACTTGCTAAACCTGTAGCCTAAATATCTTATCTCAGTATATACATTTCCCAAGTGGACATTGGAAGAGACATTTCAATGCCTACAACAAAGTGCACACTTTCAAAGCATTTTTTTTAAAAAATAGTGTATCAGGAGAGGAAGCAATAGATTAAAGCAGGCCTTTGCTATTATAGTCAAGGTAATAAATCTTTCCCAGTGAACACATACCAACAAGGTGGTATGGGCTGCCTTGGCCTGGGGACATAAAGGTTCCTGTGATTATAGAATAGGTTAGCTAATGGGAGGGAGAGACCCAGTGGAGATTCATTTTTAACCTGACTTTAAGCCTAATTCATAAATGGATCAGGCTAGACAGAGTTCAGCACTTCCACATGAAAAGTTATCCTGTGAGTCCTTCCCTGATAGTTAAGGTCAGCTTTATTCTAGACCTGGTGACAGGAGCCTCTGTAGTGGAATGTAGTGCTGTGTGTCCAGGGGCTACTTCATAAATTTTTCTGTGGAGTCCAATACCTCCAAGTGTCTTTAAAACAGAATGTGGTTCACTAAGTGGCTAAGGAACTGGTATTTTTTTCATCTCAATAGGGAGGTTAGTTCAAACTGCTCTCCAGGTTAACCTGGGGTGAAGACGGATGGGGAATGTCACCTGATAGTGCTGTCTTGATACAATTGGTGACAAACAGCTTGCTGGTTCCTAGAAGTAGGAGTTGATAGGTAGGACGAGGCTGCCTTGGTAAGGAAGTCATCAGAATATCATTATAGGGAGTTCTATGGAGGAAGAAAAAGGAATAATTATCAAAAGTCCACACACACCCTTTTTAATTTAGTTTTGGGAATAGGAACCTAATAAGTGGCAGGAACTGTCCTGGGTTCTGGATATATAGCAGTGACCAAGAACTTAAAGGATCCAGTGTTTTCATCCCAGGTCTTCCAGGTTTTAGCTTCATGCATCCCTCATGTTCCATCTCATTTCTGTTCAATCTTCTGTATGTACCCTTTACTCAAACAACTTAGAGTCCCCCAGATTCTTTTATGTCTTTGAGCCTTTACATATGTTGATCTCATTGCCTGAATGACCTTTTCCCCCTTTACATGTGGGAAATGACCTTTCTCTCCTTCCCTACGTGTCCTTCAGAATTCAGCTTCCACCTGTTTCTTTCTGTATGTCCCAGACCCACTTAGTTGCACCTCTTTTCCACTAGTGTTGTTTTGATAACATTACTGTAGCACTTAGACTTTTCTTCTCTACCTGAGGATGGGAACTTCACCTCTCAGACCTCAATGCCTTGTGTGCAGGTTAACATGTATATCACCCCACCATACACAGACACTGCCTTTAACCTTCTATCCTTAATTTGTTTCCAAAGAATAGGGAGTAAAGTAAAAAAGTAGAAAAAGACTGTGACCATTCTGCTCTTTCTCTTAACCTCCCACTTCCTCATTTTCTCTGTAAGTGCTTTTCTGAACCACTGTTTAATATGAGTATCAGTATGGTTCCAGCCTCATCATTTTTTAGTTCTGTTTTCCTGTACAAAATTTTTCAATTTTTATAACCTCACAAAGGAGATTTCTGCACAAATACAAACTTGAAGACAGAATGTAGGAGGAAGCATTCAGCGGGTGATTAGAAGCACTGGAGCTATTTCTTTACCACAAGGCATGTATTAAGTGGTGAGGGTTATGGTATCAGTTTGAAATTTAAGGTTTTGTTTTCTCTTTATTGTGAAATTTGTCGTTATAAATTTAGCTTAATCACTAGACCAAGAAAACTCATAATATTTGTTCAATGAATGAAATGCTGGGTTTGGTGACAAAAGTTAAATCCTGTTACCAGGCATCTGAGCTGTGAACCAAGGAATGTATGGGGAAGCTAAGGCAAGATGAGGTGGGCCTAGGAGGGTTTAAGTACAAGTGATTAAGGGTGTAGTAACAGCAGAGATGTCCCTTAGGATTTGTTTCTGTTCAGTAACTACAGGGACTGCTACTGAAGAACTGTTCTATTAAAGAATAATGTATGGAGACAGATTGTTGATACAGTAGGCATTGAGACAAAATTTCCATTTAAAAACTTAAAAGAAGGAAATTTGGAAAAGTATAGAATAGTATTGAATATAACATAGTGGGATGTGCTTTTAATTTGAAGGCCTGGGTTTCCCTGTGGGCAAGTTTGCAGATATGTAAAGGATCCTTTTGCCCTGCGTGGGTGGAATACAATGGAACGCTGCTAGTTAGTGTTATACATATGTAATTTATATTTTTAGAGCAAGTTGGGAAAGTTCTTATAGCCTAGAGATAAAGACCTGAGAAATCTTGCTAGAGAGGGCAGAAACAATTTGCAGCCTTCTAAAATGAAACTAAGTCTTTTTATGGGATCTTCCCTAAACGGACCCTTCCCTCTACCTTCTATATACAAGAGCAGAGAGAATGGGGGAGAAAAGCAGGGACAGATTTGATTCTACCTCTGTTAACTGAGAAGGTAGAATCTATAGATTTGGTAACTGACTGGGAATGAGGAAAAGGAAATTGCCACTTGGCGAGCTTTGTAGGTAATATCTTAGAGGAAGAGCTGGTTTGAGGTGGGATGGAGGA